GATCAAACCGTGCTAGCCATCCTTCAAAACTTCCTTGAACCCTCCATACTTGAAGCGTACTCGTATTGTGAAACCGCAAAGGAACTTTGGGACACGCTCAAGAATGTCTATGGGAATGTGTCCAACTTGACCCGTGTGTTTGAGGTCAAGAAGACTATCAACAACCTAAGTCAAGAAGACTTGGAATTTACAAAGCACTTTGGAAAGTATCGGTCTTTGTGGGCTGAACTCGAGATGCTCCGTCCAAGTACCGTGGATCCGTCCATCCTCAATGAGAGAAAGGAACAAGACAAGGTCTTTGGTCTCCTTCTTACCCTTAATCCAGCTTACAACGACCTCATCAAGCACTTACTTAGAGTCGATAAGCTTCCCTCTCTTGATGATGTGTGGGCTCAAGTGCAAAAGGAGCAAGGCCCTCTCGGTCTCTTTGGTGGTAAGGGGAGCTCATCATGGCCAACAAAGGAACATACAAGCAAGAAGACAAGAAGGTGGTGGTTTCTGACCATTGCAAGAAAAGAGGTCACATAAAAGACAAAAGTTGGATCCTCCATCCCCATCTCAAGCCGGCTAAGTTCAAGGCGAATATCTCGCAAGAAGCAAGGCAAGAAGGCGGTTCCGGATCGAGCAAACAAAGAGAGGAAGTGGCCATGGCTGCATCTCATGGTGATGTTGTGAGAAAATCCGACTTGGAAGCTCTCATACGATCCATTACCTCACTTAAGGAATCCGGTATCTCTCTCTTTGCTTCTAAACTTAGTAGTAAACTTGTCATTGACTCGGGTGCTTCTCACCACATGATTAATAACCCAAGCCTTATAGACAACATACAACCGGCCTTAGGGAATGTAAAGATAGCTAATGGAGATATGATACCGGTAAAAGAAATAGGGGAACTGAGACTATTTGATAAGAATTCTAAAGCATTCTATATGCCTATCTTTACCTCTAATCTTTTATCGGTTAAAAGGGTTATTAATGATCTCAATTGCTATACTATATTTGGTCCTAATGAGGTTTATTTTCAGGATATTAAGACCGGGAAAAGACTTGGAGAAGGAAATGCCAAAGGAGATCTTTATGTTCTTGAGAAAACCTTACCAAGTTCTTCTACTTCATTTAATGCTTGTCTTGCTTTAAGTTCTAATGGCGTGTGGCATGCTAGATTAGGCCATCCTCACTCTCGTGCTCTTGAATTGATGTTGCCTAATGTTTCATTTGATAGTTCTAGTTGTGAGTCTTGTATTCTTGGTAAACATTGCAAGTCTATTTTCCCTAAATCTAAGACCATTTATGAAAATTGCTTTGATTTAATGCATTCGGATGTTTGGACTTCACCATGCATATCTAGAGACAATAATAAGTACTTTGTGACCTTTATTGATGAAAAATCAAAGTATACTTGGATCACATTGTTACCCTCTAAAGATCGTGTGTATGAAGCTTTTACAAACTTTCAAAATTATGTTACTAATCATTTCAATGCTAAAATTAAGGTACTTAGATCGGATAATGGAGGAGAATATACAAGCCACAAGTTTAAAGAACACCTATTCAAGCATGGCATCATTCAACAAACAAGTTGCCCTTACACCCCTCAACAAAATGGAGTTGCGGAAAGAAAGAATCGACACCTTATGGAGGTTGCAAGATCGATGATGTTTCATACTAACTCCACCAAGAGATTTTGGGGTGATGCGGTGATGACGGCTTGCTATCTTATCAATAGAACTCCTACAAAAGTTCTACAAGATAGATCACCATTTGAGGTACTTAACAAAGTTAAGCCTTCTTTAGAACACTTACGTGTATTTGGGTGTGTTTGTTTTGTTTTAGTGCCCGGTGAACAACGAACTAAGCTAGACGCAAAGAGCACAAGGTGTATGTTCATTGGATACTCAACCACTCAAAAGGGCTATAAGTGTTATGATCCGGTCAATAGCCGTGTGTATGTGTCTCGAGATGTGAAATTCTTAGAGGATCAAGGTTACTATGACAAGAAAGATTGGAATAGCTTGGAAGATCTATCCCACATTCACATGGACCGTGCCTCAAGTCTAAAATTTCTTCTTGATCATCTTGGGAATACCTCTCCAAAGACACCAAATCATGACAAACCTGCCGGTTTAGGAACCATCGGCCATTCGCAACCCGGCGGCCATCCGCAGCTTGTACCGGAGGATGTTTTGACCATCCCGGTGGGTTCTCTACCAAGTCCGGATACTCATTTTCTCAACCAAGAGCCTCATCCGGACCCTATCCATGGTAATGAAAGTGATGTGCAATCGGAAACACCAATAATGCATGAAGAAGAGGAGGAAGAGGAAGATGTGGATATGTCTAGTGTTTTATCCCAAATGGGCTAAGAACTCGGAAACATTGCGTTGACCCACTAAATGGCTTGTCTAGTGTTGTTTGGGGTTAGAATATGTTAGAATCAATGGAATTTGACTGATTACAAATGCTAGAGATGCATGAAGAGTGTAGAAATACTTGTTTAAATTTGGTTCAAAATGGGCTAAGAACCCACAAATATTGGTTTGAAAAATAAATGGCTTCTCTAGTGCTTTTTGGGGTTCGAATATGTTAGAATACAATAATTCTGATTGATTACAAGTGATAGAGTTGCATGAAGAGTGTTCAGAAGTGAGGAAAAAAACTTGCTGAAATTTGGTCCAAAATGGCCTAAGAACCCCCAAACATGTCTTAG